TTGAAAATTTAGATCATTTAGTTTATGACTTATATAATTATCAAGTAACAATAAGACCTATTGACCTCCATATTTTTGAGCCATTATACAATCAAAATTTTTAATCTATTCTTAAAAAAGAACACTAAGCATTTAAGCTTTAGTATTATTTCTATAGTGGATTAATGCGAGAAAATATGAGAGCTATTGCAAAAAATGATTATTATCATAAATTGGTAGAAATGCTTATTCAAGCGAAAAAAGAGTCAGTGACTGATATTATAACTGGGATTAAAGATTATATCAGTCAATCCAGTATTGCTAATAATCTGAATGTAATGCAATACTTATTGAGAAACATACATTGGATAATCAACTTGAGCAAAGCTAATCTGAAGCAGTGATCACCATCTCAGAAGATTTTTTTTTGTTTGAAGATGGTGATTAGCAAAAAGGCTTATTGATAGTAAAGACGAAAAAATTATGGATCAGTTTTATAACTATATCTTAGATGTCAGTCTTAAGAAAAGAAATTATTTTTACGCAATCTTTAGTGGAATTCACTTCGAAGGGTTTGAAATTTCATGTGTGAAGATAATTCTTTACCTCTATATTTTATATCGCGTGAAACAAACTCAGTAATGGCATAATTAGTATCTAATTCCAGGTTTGTCAGTTGATAATTAATTTCTCTTTAAGCCCATACATTCTTACCATCAAACTGAATCTTTCAGCTATACCTCTCATATCCTGTTCTAATTCCACAATTGACTTGATAATGTTCATCTTTAATCTTATCTTCACAGTATTGTATAATATCTTCGAGATTCGCATAAGTTAACCATAAATACTGTACTAAATTGACTAGTATTACCCAAAGATCATTAAGTTCTTTTCTGGCCCCATGTCAAGCACTGAATCCCGCTTTATCTTAATTTTTGAATTAAGTTTGCTTAATGCATCTTTACTAACATTTGTCAACTATATGTCAAGAAATTCTAAACTAGAATAATATTGCGCAATTTTATCAATGACTATATTAGTAATTAGACGGCAACACCTGATATCAAGATATCTTAAATTTTTACATGAACGTATAATATTACAGATAGTTATGTCAGAAGCATCAGAAGCACCGATATCAAGATGTTCGAGTTTCGGGCAAGAGTTAGCAATATTACAAATAGATGAATCAGTTCAAGGTATTCTAAATTATGAATATATTATAACAATCTATTAACTGAAATGTCTGTAATATTATGACAGCATTTTAAAAAGCGATGGCGAAGATTAGGACATGAGTGAGCTATTGCATCTATCGTCTGATCAGAAATTGGCTTACACTGTTTAATCCACCAATGGTTACTACAGACATTGAGAGATTCTAAATTAGAATAAGATCGAGCAATTTCTATAAGTAATGCATCAGTAAAATTTTTACTTTGTTTAAAATTTAAACTGGTTATATTTGGATATGAGCGTAGAATACAGAGAATTTTATTATCCAAGAGTCTAGAATAATGCGTAATTTTGAGACTTCTTAGGCTTGAAGTATAAGATGTTTTCTGTTTATTATATGCTGACTCTAAAAATTTTTTAAAAGGATAATATGGGTTGATTGCTAGGAAAATCAGATTCTGGGAATTTTTTAATAAAATTGAGATTTTTATTGCATTTTAGTTTTTGATATT